AGTGGTGGAGAATGTCACGACCCGAAATGTCGTGACCGTGTTGATCGTCTGAAGAACGCTGCCATCTGGTTGTCTTGCCATGAGAAGGGTAAAGGGGGCGACATTAGCGATAAGGCGTTGTCTGCCTGTGCAGCGCATCTAGCCGAGTCAGGATGTGGCTATGAAGGGGATCGTTGCAAGAGAAGGCACAACTGGTCGGAGGCTATTGCCGTCTCCCTGATGAGCCCAAGGCAGGGCGAAACCAGTTGTCATGCGTATGCAGAGAGGCTGGTCTTGAGGAATGAGTGCACCTCAAGACGCCTCACGGACTTCGGAAGTCTATGTCCGTGACAAATGTCACGACCCGAAATGTCGTGACCGTGTTGATCGTCTGAAGAACGCTGCCATCTGGTTGTCTTGCCATGAGAAGGGTAAAGGGGGCGACATTAGCGATAAGGCGTTGTCTGCCTGTGCAGCGCATCTAGCCGAGTCAGGATGTGGCTATGAAGGGGATCGTTGCAAGAGAAGGCACAACTGGTCGGAGGCTATTGCCGTCTCCCTGATGAGCCCAAGGCAGGGCGAAACCAGTTGGCATGCGTATGCAGAGAGGCTGGTCTTGAGGAATGAGTGCACCTCAAGACGCCGCACGGACTTCGGAAGTCTATGTCCGTGACAGTACCCGCCCATACACATATAATTACTTTCCCGGTATATTTAATATTCTAAATAATATATCTTTCTTAAACAACTAATATTCTATATGTTTGTGGAGACATGTATAATTTGTTTTTTCTAATTGTTTAGAATGAAATTGACATTATGAAGTGGAGAGTGAAGAAACTTAGTTGACGATGAAGAAACTTTTAATAAACTTATTGTTTATATATGTTTATCTTTAATTTTGAATAATTTGTATTGATCATTTGCGTTTTGCTTGTATGCTCTAGATTGGTGTTTTTTGTATGTTTAATTTGTATGAGAAAATTGACGTTAAACTATTATTTTGAAAGAAACTTGTTATTGTAAATTTTTACCACAAAAACCCACGAGTACCCATGAACCCGCGGATACCCAGCGGGTTGGGTTGGGTTTGAGTTTTTCAGACCCAACGGGTTTTATCCTGGATTTTTTTAGCAGATAAACCCATAAGTTTGGGTTTGGGTTTGACAAAACCCGACCCAATCCGATCTATTGCCATCCCTAGATCCAGGTCACCAACACCAGTTCACCACACAGCAATTAGTTAGTTAGTTAGTTTTAAAACCCGGGTCCAATTAAGGCAGAGATCGGATGCCGCTGTTAGCCCGTTAATGGATTTGCTTGTAAGACCATTTCTTCTTCTGTTTATTAGTTGTTATATTTTATTTATTTATTTAAGGGTTAATGGCAGTTCAAATCCTTAATTAGGTCGTTATAATAAAGACGCTTTTTACTTTTTGTGCTATGAATTGTGGTTTTCCACAACGTCATTCTAGTACTATATTTTGCTGTAAGGATTTCTCCGGTAGAAAAACAATTTACTCGTAATTTACAAACGATAAATCAAATAAAATGGTGATAAAAGAAAGAAAATAACAACTAATGTGGATTTCAAAAAAATTAATGACATTAAACGAAAGAATAAGTATATCTTTATAGTATAGAAAAATTAAATCTTTATAGCATAGAAACTAGAGATAGGCCCGCCCGTTGGGCGGATGAATTACATCAATAGTATAGTAATTATCCAAATCATTGATTTGATACCATGAAAGAATTCAAATTATTCAATTATTAAAAATATTAAAAAAACTACATACATTATAATTCTTACAACATCCTGATCATTAACGAACAAAAGTCCTTATAAAAAGTAAACAACACAACTCATACATGTAGTTGATCCCTAAAAAACTTAATATTCAAAACACAGTACAATTTACTCTTTGTTGTTAAAAATTTACTGCAAATTCTCTTATGTTTTTCTTTTTTAGTGCTCCGCCATCAAGAGCATCTTCTCCACACAACTTTATTAGAGAAACTTTTTATTCACCATCAGTAATCTCTTCTTTCTTCTCTTGCATTTCATTGAAAACCAAATTTTAATATTAAAATGTTTGGTTATGTAAAATATCTTTTCACGGTAGTATAATTTCACCTCATACAACATCTCTTACGCTTGATATTAGCATACTCTTCCTTCTTCTCTTACATTTCACCGAATGCCAAAGTTTAATGGTAAAACTTTATGTATTGTGAAAAATTCAATTTTCAAGAACTTAAATTTTACCTAATACATGTCATGAACTTTGTCTGAGATGACTCTTCTTCATATTTCATTATCTTAAAAAAAGTGTATCCACATATGGTGTTCGCGATGTTGTAATCGGTGAGCTTGATTTGAAATTTAACTTCATGCTCTCGGTTTGTATGTGAAGAGGAAGTGAAGGAAAAGGGAGATTAAGTGGGTTCCTGGCAATAACCTCTATATAGTATTGTTAGGATTAGGATTAGGATTTCAGAAAATTCGCTCATAGGTGTCAAAACACAACCCGGCCCGATTAACCCGCCCGATCAACCTGACCGCAACCCAAGTTGACTATAACTCGATTGCCTTGATACCCTATAGGTTAGCAACCCCATTGACCCACAACTCGATTGGTCCACAACCCGATTGAGCTTGTAACCCGACTAACCCGTAACATGAACCCAATTGAACCCGTAACTCGATTGAACCCGTAATCAAACTAACCTATAACCCGAACTCAATTGGCCTGATGAACTATAAAATAAAGTTCATATCTTATTTGGGTAAATGCCACATTTGGTCACTGAGATTACTAAACCATGTCATATTTAGTCACTATTAAAAATTAATATCAATTTGGTCACTCGAATTAGTGAAACATGTCACATTTAGTCACTCTCCCGTTAGTTTCCTTAATGTGACATGTTTCACTAAATGTGACATGTTTCACTAATTTGAGTGACACTCATAAAAAAAAGTAATTCGAGTGACTAGAGTTGGATGAAGGCTTACGGGAGAATGACTAAATGTGATCTGTTTTAGTAATTTGAGTGACCAAAATTGATATTAATATTTTGTAATGACTAAACATAAGAAAATTTAGTAATCTCAGTAACCAAATATGGCATCTACCCTATGTTATTTCAATTAATTGTTCAACATTGTTAGAAATAGATTAATGTACAATTATCAAATACTCTCTCCTAGTTTTGCAACATGTTTCCTCAACCACCATATTATTGACACTCCAAACTTTAATTTATGTTATTCACGACCTTTTGAATCCAAAATAATTTATTAATAAAATCAATTTTGACCTACTTTTCACATTATTGTTTTACTTTGTGATTTCCAGGTGTGATTTTAATTAAGTAAATTCCATATTTGGTCACTAGAATTACTAAATTGTGTTATGTTTAGTCATTAGAAAAAATTAATATCAATTTTGGTCACTCAAATTACTAAAACATGTTTTATGAATGTCACTCGAATTACTAAAACATGTCACATTTAGTCACTCTCCTAATAGGAGAGTGACTAAATGTGACATGTTTTAGTAATTCGAGTGACCAAAATTGATATTAATTTTTTCTAGTGACTAAACATGACACGATTTAGTAATCTGAGTGACCAAATGTGGCATTTACCCGATTTTAATTACAACGAACTAATGAAGGAAGAGAAAATCGAAATTGAATTAAAAAATTCAAGTGTACTTTTTTTCTCCCTGCATAATTTTGGCAGGACGAGTTGCACTTTTGGCGGGTGGATTATGTAACACTTTAGGAAAATCCCACATCGTCAAAGCACGGGAGAGATCCATGGTTCATAAGTAAGAAAGCGACATTAACTGAAAAGACGCGTTTTGGGGTGTAATGGAGGAGTTCTTGTGAGAACTCTGAAGTTAAACTTGCTCAGTGTAGAGTACAACAAGGATGGGTGACCTTATGGGAAGTCACCTTGAATTGCACCCCAAGCCAAAAACCGTGAGGGTCGAGGCCCAAAGCATACAATATCTTGCTCAGGAAAAAGGTTCAGGATGTTACAAGTGGTATCAGAGCCTCTCTGCATCCCTCTTGAACATTGGTGGGCCAAACCTCAACGAGGATGTTGAGTCCCAAGGGGGGGGGGTGTATGTAACACCTTAGGCAAATCCCACATTGACAAAGCATGGGAGAGATCATGGTTAGTAAGTAAGAAATCGACCTTAACTGAAAATACGCGTTTTGGGGTGTAATGGAGGAGTTCTTGTGAGAACTCTGAAGTTGAACGTGCTCAGTGTGGAGTACAACAAGGATGGGTGTCCTTTATGGGAAGACACCTTGAATTGCACCCAAAGCCAAAAATCGTGAGGGTCGAGGCCCAAAGCGGACAATATCTTGCTCAGGAAAAGGTTCGGGATGTTACAGATTGTAGTTCGTATGGCAGATAAAAAATGCAAAATTGAAAAAATAACCATAACATTACCGAGAATTGTGCCTATTGAATTAAATTTTTGTTGTACTAGCATGTACCCGCACGGTTGACCGGAATATTTGAGTTTATAATTTTTTAAAATTATCCATTAATTATTAAATCAACAAAAAAAATCAACTTGCTATTGTTCTAATCATACAAAAATAGTCGATTACTAAATTATTTACCCTTAATGCTAAATTCAAAAGGATGCATTGTACCCCATATACTGATTCTATAAATGGCTAAGTAGACAAAACTCTTAATCAATCATTTTTGTGAACCTCATATAGAACTATTGAAAATAAATGATAATTGTAAACAATATAGCTTAACCGAGAAAATAAACCACCCAAAAAGAATGAGATCTTAACTAAGAATAAACCTAAAATAAGATGAAATAATAAGAACTAAGATATTGAGAAAACAAAAGTGATTATCAACACCACATCGTCTATTTTAATTTTTTTTTCTTAGTCAACACTCAACAGTAACATTTATAGTTGAAAAGTAAAACTGCTACCACCATTCAAAATTCCTTGCCCGATGTCGTTCTCTTCCGATTTTCCGAAGTAGCGGTTCCCGATGAAGGAGAAGGCGTTCGATTCCTCTACTATGTCCAGGAATCTCTTCCAATTGGTGTCGTCATCTGCGCGAATCGACTTTACTTCAACTCCCTATTCAAAATATTTGCAGCCAAGCGATGTTTCTTCTTACCCGCTGACCGACGCAGGCACGTTCCAGCTAGCACCATCGGTTTTTGATTCTCGGCTTCCCTTGGATAAAAGGCCCTCTTCTGTTCCAACTCCTTTTATCAAGGTAAATTGAAATACAAATCGATTATGGGCAGAATGCAGAAAGTGTGGCCCCTTTGTGCAATTTTGAGTTCATGAAGCTATTAGTGTTTACGCAAAGCATTGACTTATGAATCTAGGGTTATTCCATAGTGGCATGCTGAATTTTTTTTTAAAACTTAGTTCTTTATCCAGACACAACCATGCTGAAATGGCATCCATGTAAAGAACTTTTGCTACTAATATCCTTAGCTATTCATCGCTACATAGATGGAATGTAAAGTCCATATGGTGGTTGTGATGTTGTCATCTCCATTTCACGTTTGAGTCCAAGATTATCAACTATCAAGATTATGAAAATCTGGACTGTTTTTTCTTATTTAAAGTTGCATACCAGTGAATGATCTCCTAGACCCTTGCAATGTTGTGTAACTTGAAGTAGATTGATCCTAACTGTTGCTTTTTTTGTGTATGGGAACAGGAGACAAGTTCTTCCGCCTATTCCTAATCTTCTTCCTTCTGTACAGGTAATATGCTTCTTCATCTATAAGTTTGGTGGTTCAAACAAAGTTCTTTTAGTAACTGCTCGATAAGTAGCTTTTGGCGGCAATGATAATATTTGATGAAATAGGAAACTAGAGAATCTTCCATTGTCTAATGAAGTTGAACAAAAGTGCAGGTTGAGTGAACTTTTTCTGATAAGAAACGGCCAATGTGAAAGATTTCGAGTCAATTGGCATTTCTGCGACAGAGTTGGTGATAGTGAAGAATTTGTTTTTTCATTTAAGGCAAGCTCAATGCACGTTCTTGCAACTATGGATCTGAAATGATTAGTATAAGCTGAATCATAGATGGATTTGAAATGATTAGTATAAGTTGAATCATAGATGAGGGATCACTACATAAGCTTTTAGCATTGTCACTTAAGTGGTTACTCACTTAGTCAAGTCGTAATGAAAATGAAATTCGACAGCATGATACTTGGGTGAGAAGACCATCCAAAATGTGACCTAGGCTCGGGAAGTTTGAGGGAATGACTATTAAAACTGATTGTTAGATAAGTGGGAAGAGTTTATTGTGGTATGGTTTCGAGATGTAGTACAGGGAGAAGCGGAATAATGCCAATTACTTGAGAAGTTTATCGAAATACATTTCATAGTAATGTGGTGGTGATGTCAAGAGCGGGTTAAGATGTATCATTCGGGTAAACAACAAATTCGAAATTTAGTTTTCCTATTTCCATTATTCTTAGTTTATTATTTTTTTCAATTTTTGGACCCATCGGTGGTGTGGTTGACTGACAACAAATTGTAGTCGTCAGGCGCTGCCTGGCCAACTGAAATGATTTCGTATATGAAAATTTTCTATGTTGGACATGGTTTAATTGTTAGTCAGTTGTTGCTTTGAAAACATTGAGTTGTCTTTGGTGTTGTTGCAGGACTGGGAATACATTAGGATGAGATAGCAGACTGCTGTAGGTGGAAAAGTATAGAGTCCACACTGGTGCTTGACTGTTGTGGTAGTGCTGGAAGTTGAACATGGTTATTGTTGCCTACCACGTATGGAGGTAAACTTCGTCACGTTTTTTACTGCTCAGAGAAGAAGGGTCACATAGTCTTTATATGTATTTCGGATTGCTATCTACTGAGTTTTTGCCTGTTAAGAAAATGATTCTCGATTGATGAATAGCTTAGTGGATCTCCTCCTTTCGGGTAGTCGGGAGGGGTTTTGACATCGAGTTTTTGATTGGGGTATCCATCCATACCATGTTTGGCTATTGTGTGTTTATTATGCAGTCCAAAGAAATACTACTGGATGAAAGAGGTTGTATTGGCTGCACTCCAAATTGATATGGTTAAATGAAACTCGGAAGTAGCTGAGGGAAGAGCTATTCTCTGTGGTCTGAATAAAGCAATGAAAAGGAGATATTGTATCCTTTGAGGCATGTGCCGACTGATTTCCTTTCAATGAAGGCTTTTGTTGTTTCCTCCATAGAAGAAAGAAGTGGTCATACAGGACAATCAATCAAAACCTTTGGTTTGGGGTTTACCGATTAATGCTTTTCTAATATATTATTATGTGAAGGAATTTGATACTCTTGCCTCTATTTGCTGCAAAGTAATCTTGATTTCTGACTGACTATTATTTTTGCATATGGTTTTATAGTACGAGAAACTTCATTTGGATTGCTTTGTATATATAATGGTTGTATCTTTGTTGATTCCATGAATTTTAGGTCTCCTTATTGTTATTATTGACATTTTAATGTTGAATTTTAGGTATAGTAGTATTGGATTATCAGACAGATGGTACTTACGAGTAGCTGAAAATCGCAGGCATAGGAGTAGAGTTGCAAAACCTTCCTCGGCATGGATATATGGTGGGTATATAGTTAGAATATTTGAAGATGATGTGATAATTTTCTCCAAGCCCGCTTATTACCATCTCTAATTCAGTTGAAGGTTTAATGGTTATAACAAAACATGGGACTGAAATATGTAAATGGTTTCACTAATAAAATGGGTGTTTGTTTAAATGTATTGTTCTCCGACGTCTTTGGGAGTTCGTTTGGGTTAAAATATTTCTTTGACTGTATTTATGATTGTGATGAATTGAGTCTGTGAAGTAGTGGTTTATATCTTGGTTCGGGAAGTTGAATGAACTATCATGTGTTTGATGAACTTTATTTTGAGTTTCATCCTTTAAATATATGATGGTTTGTATCTCCTATGGAATATGATGTTGAATCAATATTGAGGTTGTGCATGCTATTCTTAATGTTTCGCAACAAGTAATCGTATGTTTGGATATTTTACATATTTGTCATCATAATAGTCTTGAACTATCCTCATAAGTTAATGTCAACTTCTAGGACTACAATTTTTTTTTGGATAAAGATATTAGTTACCAATCAATTGTCATCTAATAATTTATACTTTCCTAATGATACAATTTTAGATGATTGTTGATTACAAAGTTTGAACCCAGTATGTGATTAATTTTAATCCTTCCAGATTACCACTTTAGTGAATAATTATTTGAGTTTTGTTAGAAAATCATATAACTGCAAGTAAATAATTATGAATATTATGAAGAAATATTTTTTCAATAATTTACGCTGACAATAAGAAGTGCACAAATTTCTTCTAAAATATGAAAATATATACAACATACGAAATACTCGCATAAAAGTGTTTCGACACCAAACTCCCATCTCCAATAGTATTTCCGTTAACAATTTATAAATTACTAATATGTTGCTATGCAAGATTTTCACTTCCATCATACAACGGAAAGCAGTTAAGGCATGAGCAAGGTGAGATTTCATTTAGATGAGTGACCTATTACCTTTTTAAATACCGTAGTTGGGGTACCTAATCAACAAAAATATCTATGAACTAATTACCACTGATGATACAAATAACACAAATAACTTCCAAATTATGTATAAACTACTTCGACGATTCTAAATCATTTGAAAGCATCGATCATTTAACATTAATAATAAAAACAAAATTCATCTGACCAACGGGTCGGGTAAAAGCTAGTAATATTTATAGTATGTAAACCAACTATGTGATCTATAACTGGACTCTGTACTCAATAAGCATTTTTGAGTTTCTACCACACCATCATGTTAATTAAATACTAACATCAAACAAAACTTCGATATCTTCTATTAAAAACTTAATTTGTAGTTATATTTTTTCCGGTGAATTAATACTCATTGTCAATTTGTAGCTATATTGATGTAGTCATTAAAAATAATTTTTCCAAGAGAGTAGTTGACAAAAATTTTACAATAAACTCAAAACAATCCAATACAATACCAGACTACCAGTTCATTTAGAATACATAATAAAAATTAGGGTTAATACCTTAGTTTGGCCCGAACTATACACATACTTTCTACTTTGGCCCATGGTATTGGAAATTGCTATTCTAGCCTGAACTATGTAACAAACTTCCCCATTTGGCCTGGAGGCGGGTTTGACCGTTAAATTAGATGGTCAAACTTGTTGACCGTTAGTCAATGTCCACCTCACCTGCCACATCAGCTTTGAGGACATAAAAAATATTTGTTTTTATTTCTGAATTTTGTTTTCTTGCCATTTGCTAAAAATGGGCCCTTTTTCGTTCTTTTAATTAATTTTTTTGATTTATTATTTTTATTAATCGAAAGAAAATAAAATTCAGAAATAAAAATAATAATTTTTTATGTCATCAAAGCTGACGTGGCAGGTGAGGTGGACATTGACTAACGGTCAACAGGTTTGACCGTCTAATTTAACGGTCAAACCCGCCTCCGGGCCAAATGAGGAAGTTTGCTACATAGTTCAGGCCAAAATAGCAATTTTCAATACCACGGGCCAAAGTAGAAAGTATGTGTATAGTTCAGGCCAAACTAAGGTAACTTGCACTCTTCTTCTCAGCTCGAGGCTGCCAGAGAAAGGATGCGCTCCTGAGAAAGATCGAGAGACTGGAACATCGGGATGGTAACTTGCACTCTTCTTCTCAGCTCGAGGCTGCCAGAGAAGAACTCGAGTTGGTTCTGTTCCAGGAGGAACTCTTTTGGTGCCAAAAGTCGCGACTCGAGTGGATCGCATCAGGAGATAAAAATACAGCTTATTTCCACTCAAGAACCTTGAAGCGACGAAAGAGGAACATGGTCTTAGCGTTGCAAAAAGCGGCGGGGAGTGGGTTGATGAAGAAACGGAACTTCAACAAATGGCACGGGCATTTTTCGAGTGGCTGTACACGGATGAAAACAAGAATGCGGTACCCCTGACTCGCGAATTCCTGGAGTTGGAAAGCAGCCTTTGGCAGGGTCTTAATGTGCAACCATCGGCCGAGAACATCTTTCAATCAATCCGCTCGATGGCAGCTTTGAAAGCACCTGGCAAAGACGGGTTGAACCCCCTATTTTTCCAGAAATGTTGGGAGACGATCGGAAACTCTATGACGGACCTGATTCGCAGCTGCTGGGACGAGCCGACCAGGATTCAGGACATCAACTCCACCATCCTCGTCCTAATCCCAAAAATCACCTCACCGACGTCTATCGAGCAATTTCGACCCATCAGCCTATGCAATGTTTCCTACAAAGCACTGACGAAGACAATTGCGGAGAAGCTGAAACCTCTTATGCCAAAGTTGGTGCACGAGACCCAAACGAGCTTTTTCCCAGGCCGACACATTACAAATAACATTTGTATCCTACATGAATTTGTTCATTCTATGCGGGACAAGAAGGGTCGGAAAGGTTGGATGGTCCTGAAGATCGACCTGGCCAAGGCTTATGACAGAATTCGTTGGGAATTTGTCCGGGATACTCTAGAGGCGACAGGCGCTCCTACGAAGCTGATCGAGGTAACTATGGCTTGTATCACGACGTCCACAATGGAAATCCAGTGGAACAGGGGCTTGACAAGCCCGTTCTCCCCATCGCGCGGTCTTCGACAGGGATGTCCTCTATCACCCTATCTTTTTACGTTGTGTATGGAAATATTGGGTCATCTTATTAATAAATCTGTTATGGATGGGAGTTGGCAGCTGATCCAGCTGACCAGATCAGGGCTGGCCCTATCACATTTGTTTTTTGCAGATGATCTAATTTTGTTTGGCGAGGCATCATTGCAGCAAGCCCAGGCGATCCTGCAATGCTTTGTGACCTTTGGAGCGGCCTCGGGACAAAGAGTGAGCAAACCAAAGTCGAGAGTCTTCTTCTCAGGAAATGTGACGGCCGAAACCAGAGCCTCCCTAAGTACCGAGCTCGAAATCCCGCAGATGGTGAACCTCGGCAGAGACTTGGGAGTTTCGGTTATCCACGATCGAGTATCAAAGGCAACCTACATTGAATTGATAGACAAGGTGGACAAAAGACTGGCAAGATGGAAAGCTGAAACCATGAGCTTGGCAGGGCGGATTACGCTTGCCCAGTCTGTCCTGGCATCCCTACCGTCGTACACCATGCAAACATCTTTCCTCCCGGCTAGCGTCAGGGACTACATCGACAAAAAAATCAGAGCGTTCATCTGGGGAAGTATGGAAGGAGGGAGGAAAGTGCACCTAGTGGATTGGGACACGATATGCAGACTAAAAGAGGAAGGCGGCCTAGGTATGCGTTCGGCAACCCGAACGAATGAGGCGTACATGCTGAAAATTGCATGGCGTCTCATCATGAACCCGGAAGAGCTGTGGGCGAAGGTCATCCTACACAAGTACATGCGAATGACGGAGGAAGGTCTGGTGCCGCGCCGAACAGGGAGGGTCTCGAACCTATGGCGGGGAGTACTACGGGTCTGGCACAGATTGGAGGAAGCCTCGACGTGGAATATACGAAATTGTCGCCTTGCCCGCTTCTAGAGTGACCGTTGGATCAATGACGGGGAACCTTTAGCGGCGTACTCTCAGGCAGTTTCGAAAGTAGCGAGGAACATTCCAGTGGCGGACTTCGTGCTCAACGGTGAGTGGAATAGGGAGTATATAAATCATTTCTTATCCGTTGATGTGGTCTCGCAGGTTTACCTTCACCTGGTGCTGACGGAGACAGAAGACGACGTGAGATGCTGGAGTTTCACTCCGAATGGTGAATTCTCACTTAAGACGGCATACGAGATGTTGGCAGAGGAGGATAACCCACACCTTCACAGACACCCGACCTGGAGAGAAACCTAGAAGATCCCGATAATGCATCGGATGCGCTCCTTCATGTTGCTGGTTAATCACCGCAAGCTTCTCACCAACGCAGAGCGGAAGTGCAGACACCTAACCGACGACGATGGCTGCAAAATATGCGGCGGAGGGCCTGAAACTACACTTCACGTACTTCGCGATTGCCCTTATGCAAGAGCTACGTGGGTGGAAGCACTACAAAATGAATATGATCATGATTTCTTCGAGCCCAACATCGAGAGATAGATCCTGCACTACACGACGGGTCGTGGCCGCACCATCGATAGCACTTTCTTCACGACTATATGTTGGCTGTTGTGGAAAAACTGGAACAATTACTGCTTCCAAGGTAAGCTGGACTCCTGTGCACATATTCAGACTAGCTCGGTACAACTTCGGCTTCAAATCCTTAAAGCCTCAGAGAAGGAGCAACAGGTGTTCGGAGCCGGGGGGACTCCGCACACCTACGATGATCCAGTGGCAGCCACCTCAGCCCGGGTGGTCTTGCCTAAACACAGATGGCTACGTGACACTTTCTACATCTAGCACGGCAGCCGGGGGAGTCGTTAGGAGGGACGACGACCTTTTTGTCACTGCTTTCTCCATGAACCTGGGAGGGGGTTCCATCACTAGTGCCGAGCTAGCCGGTATTATGCATGAGTTACAGATTACTTGGGAGGAAGGAATTCCGAAGGTTATTCTGCAGACAGACTCGACCACGACTTTGTCACTTATCGATTCAGCGACACCACACCATTCACAACATTCCTATGTGGCTGAGATCCGACGGTGGCTCCAGCGAGATTGGCAGGTCCAGCTTCAGCATGTCTTTTGAGAGGCGAACGTGGTCGCTGACTACCTAGCAAACAGAGGTCATTCCTTGCCGGTTGGCATCCATCGAGTTACAGCTCATGATAGCTCTCTTGCTTATTGGTTGTACCATGACACTATTGGGGTTCAGACACTCCGTCTCATTATCGTATAAAGGTTGTGGCACCCTTTAAGCGCTCCGTCTTCTCACCAAAAAAAAAAATATTCAAAAAGCATAAAATGAAGGAACGTGTTGTAAAATAAATATAAAAGGTTTTTTTAATTTCAAATCTTTTTATATTAATATTAGAGTTCATAATCAAATAATATTAAAAAATATATATACAAAATTGTTATGTAAAAATATAAATGTTTTTTGAAAATGTTAAACATCTTTTACATTATTTTATTCCCTCTAATCTCTTCTCTCTCCATGTTATTGCGTGCACTACTAAAAATAAGGATAAGGAGATAATTTTTTTATATTAAAGTCAAGGTATAATTACATTTATACCCTACCTACAATTAAGGAGAAGCAAAAAAATTAAAAAATGTGAAAATCCTGCAAAACTCCACCATTTTATATTCTTTAGATTTAGATTTAGATTTAGACTTTGTCCCCATCCTGCTCGTTTTCTATCTGGTTTTTAGCAGCTTAACCCAAAATTCACTATTTCCATTGTATTGTTTGTTTGTTGGGAGTTAGGTCTTAGGTCATCCAATTCGTCAATGGACCTTTGCCGCTCCCGCGCTAGAGCGTGAAAATGCGCTTTCTCCACGAGACGACCATAATTCGCGAATTGTTATTCATTGGAGCGCGAATTATATTTGATAATTCGCGAATGCTGTAATTATTCAAGTTTTGGGAGAGGGGGGGGGGGGGTTGCAGGTTCTAGGGGTTGCAAGTTGAGGTGTAAATTATAGGAGGGTGTAAATTGTAGGGGGTGTAAGTTGAGGGGTAAATTGTTGTTTGGAAAGAAAAGTAAGATGGTGCAAATGAGGTGAACAGTAATTGAATTATATAATTATAATATAAAATATAATAAGTTATAAAAGTTAAATAATAATTTTTAATCTTTTTGTTACTTTTGTCCAATCATATCAATAGAAATATATTTAATTATTGTTTTAGTTCTCTTCCCTCTCACACGCTCTCTCCCACGCGGCCGAGAAACGCGGTGAAAGCCTAACCTAAGGTTGAACTTCAAACGAACATACTTTTTGCTCCGCAACCCGAACGTATGAATTTTTTTTGATTCCACATAATTTTTATGGGACTACAACTTTTACTAGGAAGGAATTTTCAAAACAGGAAATAGTTTTCGATATACGGCGTAATCAAAAACAATTTCATGACATTCGGATTGCGGAGCACAAAGTTATGACCATTCAAAGTTCGGTGAAATTGAAAATTTTCTCATTTGGGGAAGAAATGACTTTTTCGGGCCGAAGGCAGGACCAAACTACCTTCGCAGTTTGCAAATTGAATGATCTCGAAAAATTATGCAAAATAAAAAAATCAGCTATGATTGGATAACCGAGTGCAAAGTTACATTCGTTTGAAGTTTCAGCCTTAGGTCACACCTTCACCACGCTCCTCTGTCGCGTGGATGCATTCACCGCTTTCATCTGCAAAGGTGAAGATGTTCACCGCGTCCGACGGCCGCGGTGATGCCCTAACATGCGTAAATTGGGAATTTTTCATAAACGTGTGTATTTTGAGATTTTTTTAAGAACATATGTATTCTGGAGAAAAATCTGTGTTTTCATGTGGTTTAGTCTATTTGGATTTCCTGACAAGCAACAATCACATTAAATCATTCTTCTGAACATAATAAGTGACTTTTAAACGGAAATAAATAACCTTTGTCACCAAAACCTAGTTTTCTTGTAGTGACTTAATGGGTTGACCCGAATAACCCGCAACCCGACTGATTGTGACCCGATTATCCTATAACACGAACAACCCATAACCCGGTTAACCCGTAACTCACGAGGCCAGTAACCTGATTAACCAGTAACTAGCTTAACCTGTGACTTGTTTGACGCCGTGGAGGACGAGGAGGAGGGAGAGATGGGGAACAAAATGAGGGGAAACAAAATGAAGCCAATCAGTGAACTTCTCATGCTATCAGTGTTTATTTTAGTTTTGTGTCATTCCATTGAACTATCCATGTTGTCTTTCTTTAGTCAGGTCTTGTGCTTTGGTCTTGCATGATCTATGAACTATCTATGTTGTCTTTCTGTAGTCATGATCTATGACAGAAACAAACATCGCTCTAAGGCCCTTGTACACTCCATTTGTACTTTCGCCATGGTTGGTAGTTGCAATGCCGAATCTGGCACCATTGTCGTCCATATGGAATGTCCACATGTGCAAATCTTGACCTTCAGCCTATACTGCCCCCGCTCGTTGTATCTGATGGATCGTCTTCATCTTCTGCTGGTACTTTTTTGGTTGATGTGCAACTGCTTCAAGGTGAACTAAAATAACTATTCAATACATGATAAATAAATAAAATATCCATTATGCGTAATTAACTTGCATAAAAAGACATTAGTACCTGCAACCCATAATTGATCTCTTATGTCTTTCTTCTTCCCGAATTTGTGGGAGAAATTGGCAAGAAAGTGTCGAATACACCAGCGCCATGTCCATCCCCATTCATCGGGAAAACCACCCACGACATTCCTCGACCCCTTCTTCCACTATTGACTCGCTATGACACAACTCCTAACAAAGGCCAAGTGTAACCAATGAAAGGGACTGCAGTATAGTGACTCAAGTAATAAATATCGAATCCACGGGTCTCTAGAGTTACTATTACTCACTTCAGTTCATTATCTATCAAACCAGATTAAGATAGAACAACTAAAATTACTCTAGCAAACTACAGTTAAAGTTAATCTAATTACGGGTTGGGAACTCACTTAGGTATGATTCCCCCTAGCCACTAGTCAGATTAATGATTGATGATCTCTAACATGTTTCACTTTCATTCACAAAGAGCAGAGGGGAAACATGTGCAAGTATCGAGTCATCAAATCCCCCCACACTTAACCGTTTGCTTGTCCCCAAGCAAATCTGACTCAAACCAATACAACTCTCCAGACCTTTATAGCAATACGCAACCCCGATTGTTGGTAGTGGATTTCATAGATCATTTAGCAGCTTACGAGGTCAACCGGTCTTCTAAGACGTCCCCTATCTCTCTCAATGCGAGTACTAGACTCAAACCAGGATCATCCGAAGTAGTGGACCAAGGACATATAATTCATGGATAAAGAGACTCACACAACACACACAAGCTTGGACTTTTGTCTCGGGTGCTCTTCTCATTTCATTTCATTTGTTGGAACCCCTTTTTCTCAAATTTTTTCTTTTCCTTTAATTTCATTTACTGTTGGGGTTCCAACTGCAGTTATGCGCGGTCGACCCTTATTGGTTGAGCAAGAGCAATTTATGTACATCTGTTGCTCACCAAAGTAATTCTTTTAACTCCTTTTCCTTAATTCGTGCGGAGGGTCAATAAAATTAAGGGGGGTCGGAACCCGAATTCATAGTCTTCTCCTCCTTGATTTCTCTAGGAAGTCTCGGGGTAATACCACTCGAGTGGTGGTGGATACCTCCACTGGTTGGAGAAGCCATTAGGATCCATGATTCAGATCTACACCAACAAAAACAAAAACACCCAAGTGAAAAGCAAGGGTGTAAAAGAAAAAGAAAAATGCTAAAGTAACAAACTTCTTCCTTTCCTAATAATCTAGAAAGTCCCCGGCAACGGCGCCAAAAACTTGACTAGCTATGACACAACTCCTAACAAAGGCCAAGTGTAACCAATGAAAGGGACTGCAATATAGTGGCTCAAGTAATAAATATCGAATCCACAGGTCTCTAGAGTTACTATTACTCAACTTTAGTTCATTATCTAGCAAACCAGATTAAGATAGAACAACTAAAACTACTCTAGCAAACTACAATTAAAGTTAATCTAATTACAGGTTGGGAACTCACTTAGGTATGATTCCCCCTAGCCACTAGCCAGATTAATGATTGATGATCTCTAACCTGTTTCACTTTCATTCACAATGTGGAGAATCCTTAACTAGACCTTGAGTCTCGACTAAAGGAACAAGGCCCTCTTGAGTCAATTGGCAAGAGGGACGTATCCTTCTCTAGAGAAACCGATCGAGGCGTTCTGAGCTAGAATCCCTCTATCGAATGAGGTTCTCAATCGATACAAGCATGGAATCAACCCTCGACTAAAGCAATCAATCCAATACTATCAATCTATGGTGCTCTATTGACCTAATCATGTATTCGATCTCATAGGATCAAAGCGGAATCAATAATCTTGACTAAAGCAGAATTGAATCATGAAAACATGCATAGATTGAATATGAACTCAAGATTATCAAGTAAGAGTACTCATACAATCATCCAATCAAACATACATGGCTAGGGTTTCTCAAAACCTAAGTGAAGGGAAGTTACTCCATAGAGAAGAGAGAGACTGCAGTAAGAATCTTCAGATGATCAGTCTTCAAGTTCGGGATTGTTCCTCGAGCTTCCAAGACGAAAAAATCCTCCAATTCCACTCCAAAATTGTCCTCAAATCGCCCTCTCTCTCTCTTTGGTTCGTCCCCTAGGTGTTTGGAATCTAAAACTCAGCTCCCGCGCCCCCGCCCCCCCCCCCAAACGCACAAAATAGGCTTTTAACAGCCTGTGTTCGCGAAACCCGGTCGGGTATTTAGGGAACCGGTCGGGTATCCACATAATGCTATGGGTCACTTTTCTAGGCAAAAGGGAAAATACACGGTCGGTTATTTTTGGTTCACGATCGGGGGACCTTCTGATGCTGCAAAAAATACCCTATCAGATGGTCAAAATACCCGGTGGTCGGGTATTTTGCAGTTTCGGGTCCCCTATCTTTGATTCTTCGTTTCTCCCTCATTCGTACTCCAAATCAGGTGTCGTTTGATCCCAGATGCTCGTAGTCTCGTCCTCTTTCTTTTCATGACAAGCTTACATGATTATATGGTCACAAAGTGA